AAATACCTGAAAGAGAGATTTGAAAAGAGAATTTTCTGGTTTGGAAAGAGAGTTTTCAATCTTACCCCCATGAGCACGGGGCTGGTGATCCTCTCAGCATTTCCCGACGTGCCAGGCGAGTGGGGGGATGTCATGATGGGAGACATATGCCCAAAAGCTGCCAGATCCACGTCAGAATCCGCCAAGGGAATCTGGGGCGACCCCGGGGGACGCCCCTGGACAGTGAGAGCTACATAGGAACCGGCTGTGGGGACACAGGGACAGGTCACACACACCTGGACATTTCCACAATTCTCTCATTTCYCTCATTTCTCCTTTCCCTCGGTGAGAACAAACCTCACACCATTCCTCCTTCAGACCTACAAATCTGACAGCACTGCCTGGTTAAGAAATCTGTTCAAATTTCAGTTGTTCCAAACACTTTCATGATTAGAAACAGGGGAAGAGAATTTTTCATGGGGAAAAAAGTTAAAAGTCATTCCCAGCTGCTCCTGTTCAGTGTCAAAATCATCATCCTTATGCTTGTAAATGCACAAAATCCACCTTTCAGCCCAGCAGGTGACTTTTGGAGGACACAAASACAAAATAAACCACGCCAGGCTGGAAGGAACCATCACCATTCCTTCCTTGTACAAGAAAATCCACCAAGAAAACACTTCCTTCAGTAATGCCAGCACTGTGCAAGCATCACACTCTGTGGAATTTAAGGTGGAAACAAAAGCTGGGAAAGCACCCAGGCAAGGTTTGATGGCAATTCAAACATGAACTTGAAGCTGCAGGAGAATGCATCAGCTTCAATTCAAGATGTCAACATCACCCCGATTTCACTTCCCCGTTTCACACCCTCCCTGGATCTCTCAGCACTGACCTCACCCCTGCCACTCACAGAGCCACAGAAATGATGCCAGTCACAATTTAAAGGTGACACCAGAGTCCCCTGCCTTTACTCACACTTGATCAGCTTGACCACCTCCAAATGGTTCGAGTGTGTCACCAGAGTTCCGTTCACCTGGGCAGGGAGAGGAGAAAATTCCGTGTTCAGCTCCTCATTTCCAACAATTCCACTCATTCCATAACAAGCACCAGGATGAGGAGCAGCATTTTCTCCTCCCCCATCTCCATTACTGTGTCTTTTAAGACATCATCAGATAAATAATTTATCCTCCCAACAGCTTATCTCAGCAAGCAGAGCTCTGCAAAACAAAAACTGTGCACGCACCGAAAGAACCCGAGCAGGCAAACAAACAGAAAAAAAGCAATCCATCTCTGCCTGGGCAGCAAAACAACARGGTAGCTAATTTAATTCATTAAATTCACTGCCTGGTTGAAATCCCAGCTCTATCTGAGTCAGGAGCTGCTGCAGCATTCTGCAGCAATATTTTACACAGTCTTTAAAGTTACTGACTTGATTTCTTGCTTGTTTGGGATTAAAAAAGAACCTGGATCTGGGGGCAGTTRGGGGGAAAATAATTCAGGCAGGCCATTTATTTACAGATCATGATTAACAACTCTCTTTTCTTTCTCTTCCCTGCTGTTTTTATTGTGTTTGTGGTACTTGAACCTGCTAGGATGCTGAACTTGGCCATGAAATTCTGAAATGAGAGTGCTCTGGAGGAGAGCCATCTCCAGAACATTGAAACAGTTCCTAATGCAAACATTACAGCAGCATTACATACACATCAGTGACATTTTTTTCAGGGAAAGAGCTCATTTAATACAAAGGATCGGTTTCTCTCACACTTGAAATATCCTTACCTTGATAATTCTATCACCTGTCTGCACTCCAGCCCGCATGGCTGCTCCATCTGCAGAGGMAAGAAACCATTCAGTTCCCTTTTCAATGCAATCATTTCTAGCAAAAATGGTTTTCAGACTTCTGCAAAACATGCAAAACCCTCCTGCCCTCAGCCAAGCTTCCTCCATCAGCTTAAAATCTCTGGGTCTCGAGTCTGGAGCAGTTTTGCTTTCCCAGCACATCCCAAGGAGCTGTTTCCTCCCTGTGGGATGCAGGTCAGCTCCAAATCCATCAGATCCAGAGGAATAAACTCACTGAATCCCCACAGCCACCCCTCCCAGGAGGATTTTTGGGGTTTTCTGCTCATTTCTAGCATTCCCAAGGGAAGGCTGGCAGGTTTGAGGGGTGCTCTCACCTTCCTTGACAGACTGCACGAAGACGGGGTTGTCCCCGCTGACCGTCAGCCCGAAGCCGTTCTCATCCCTCTGGATCACCACGCAGCGCTGCACCAAGCCTGCAGGACATGGGGACAGGCAGAGCCACACCAGAGGGGACACAGAGACACAAGGATGGTGTCAGTCCAAAGCTGATCCTCCCTGAGCATCAGAGAGCTCAGCACAGGGGGGACACAGCACAGGGGGAACAGGGCAGGTCCACAAATGGATGGGGATGTCCAGACAGACACGTTCCCAAGCTTTTTGCTCCAGCTCCAAAAACCAGAGAAATCTCACAGACAGCTCTGGCACATCAGACACAACCTGAGGGAAAAGCAGCTTTTAAAGAGGAGCAGCAGCACCCAAACCAAGGAGCAGAATTTGCCTTTGACTGCATTAATAATTCACAGGGCTGGCAGGTGCCTCTGCACCACCAAAAACACCCACCAGCTTCTGCAAGCTGCTCAGAAGAGAAGCACAAATCCCTCAGACTGATGTGAGGGGGTTGGACTAAAACAGATTTATTGATCAGGCAAAGTTCTCCCAATTCTCAGTTCTCGGGGCACCTCCTGTTCCAGGTGAAACAGTGCCCAGAGCCAGAACAGCAGAGGTAAATCAGCCCAACCACACTGAACTGCCCCAAACAGGATTTCTGAAATAAACACCAGTGCAGGGCCAAAATCCCAAGAGCTGAGCTTGAATCTGCTCCTCCTTTAACTCGCTGTGAGAGCTCAAAGGCAGCTGTTTTGTTTCCTGGTGCACTCAGCACAACATGAGCATAAACGCTGCTGCAGAGATAAATTCATTTGGGAAGGGGCAGAACTGTGAGCAGCYGGAATGCTGGGGATGGCTTTGGTTCACCTGGAATTCAGGAAAAGGCAAAACAAAAGCAAGCAGCAGCSCTGGTGTGCTCCTCACCAAGAAATTTCCTAGAAGCACCTGCACAGAGCCTCCCACAGTGGAGCCTTTATCCTAAAAAGTGACTTTGGGAACCCTGTAAAATGTTCCCCCAAAGTTGTTTTATTTAAGTCACACTCATTTCTAACGATTTGTTTTTCCATTTCTAAAGGCACAACAGGCAAAATTCCTACACTGAGCATCAAGGCTTTTCCAAGAATCAGAATCTCTGAGGATTCAGAGCTCTCCCAAATCAGATCCCAAAAAGGGTTTAGTTCCCAAAAAGGTTTTAGTATGGAGGGAACCCAGGGAAATGGGGAGATGGTGTCCCAGCCAGACTGGCTTTTCTGGAATGAGTCTGAAGGGATGAATTGTAACAGAAAGTGGAGTCAGAACCGAGTCTCCCACTGCTCCCAAACCAMCAGGGCTCTTTTCACTTCTCTGCAGCATTCCATGGAAATGAGGAGCTCGAGTGCAGGCACTGCCTGCCCAGCCAGTCCTGTYCTCCTCTGGGGTGCCACATGAAAATGGGGTGGGAACAGAGGAAAAAAGGGTCACAGGACTGCTGCAGAGCTCTAAATCCCAGTGATTTGGCGATTATGGGATACCCAGCACCCTGCAGGGCTGGGGAATGCCTGGCAAAGAAAATCCCCCCACTTTTCACCCCCTGTGCTCAYTGAGAAGGGAAGGAACACGCCTCTCCCTCCTGCACCTCCCCTGCTTTTATAGGACCAAGCTTCTTCAAGTCTCACWTCCCAAGAATGACGCCCGGGGCTGGGGTGTGGGAACTGAGCGCTATTTCAGAAAAACAGCTCCTTTCCACTCGGTGCCAGCCCCACAGCTCTGATGAGTAAGGCCCCAAACTCAGCCCTGGACTCACGAAAAGTCCCTGTTTAAAGGCACAGAACATCCCTGAGTCTGCTCCCCAATGGATTTCTCCCTCCAGGAGCAATAATCCCTGATTTGTTGAGAAGTTTCCTCCTTGGAGGAGCTGACACCAAAGCAATATAGGCTGACCTGGAAGAGAATCATTTATTTAAAGTTTATTCAAGTTCAACTCTTCCATTCCATAATCCTCAATTTCACCCAAGCCCATTTTTTAAACTCAGAATGGAGAGACAGTTGAAATTAGCACGACTTGACCTGGAATTAGTCCATAATTGCTTTTTCCTGCATTTATTCCCTTCAGATAAGGAACCAACACTTAACCCTTCTCTTAACCCAAYCCAAAAGGCTGCAATGAGGTGTAGGAGATGCCACGCTTGACTAAGATACACTTTACAGTGATTTTAATAAAATTATCTGGAAGTTTCCTGTGACCTGCAACTCTGACAGCACTTCCTAYCTGAACCAACTTTAAGTGCCCTCTTTTATTTCATTAWGAAATATCTCACCATGAGATTTCACCTTTCCCAGCTCAAACTCAGTATTACAAAGYCRACAGRATTCATCACTGACAGTCMTCAAAATCAAATCAATAAYAATATTATTCYCATTTTTGCTTTARTTTATGTTACAAAGGGAGTAGACATCACTYAAATACGCTTTAAAATYAGTGTCTGWTCYTAAAATTGKGGGGGRAAAAKWAWWAAWWWTYYWTTTTTTTGTCCACATGTAGGTAATAATTCCCCAAATTTGAGAATTCATCAMTGACAGTCCTCAAAATCAAATCARYAATAATCTTACTCCCATTTTTGCATTAATTTGACAGTATGTTATAAAGGGAAGAGACATCACTTAAATACCCTTTAAAAATCAGAGTTTGTTCCTAAAATTGTGGGGGAAAAAAATAAAAAAATCTTCTTTTTTTTTGTCCTCATTTAGGTAATAATTTCCAAACTCGAGGTGTAGCCTCAAGGCAGAGCACAGCAAAGCGTGCTGGGGTTAAAGAGGTTAAAATGAAAAGTGAAAGCAGAGATGAAAATCGAGAGGAGCTGCTCCTCAGTAGGTGGCACTCGTCCCTCTCCCTTCAACCCTGCTCCAAAAGTCCTTGGGATGGTGGGGAAGGGCAAAGTCTGGACTTCTCAAGGTCACTGACACCCCAGGGCCAGAAAAATTGTCTGAAACAGCCTGGCCAGACACATTTGGGCTCTCCAGCAGCTTCTCTGGTCAAGATAATTTAGATTTTCCTTTTCTACACATCTTATTTAGGAGTTATTCAGAAAAATAGAGAATTTAACAACAAATAGAAGAGGATTTCACTCTTAAAACCTTAGAGAATGGAGAGAGAAGGATGGATGGGGCTGGGAGCATCCCTGCCCATGGGATGGGTGCAACAAGAAAATTTTGAAGGATTTTTCCAACCCAAATCACCCTGGGATTCCACGGGACATGAATTCCCTCTCCCCAGTCTGTAGGACACAGCCCAGGAGCTGAGATTTGGGAATTAAAAACTGCCCTGGGGGCGTGAGGCCACCAGAGGAAAACACAGATTCAGAGAGGGATTGGAAATGAATCATTGCATAAACAAAAAAACAAACTCCTCGGGGGTTTGAGAATGGCCAAGTGTTTCACTTCATTCTGTCTATAAAATATTGTCAGCAACGCTGCTCTATGAAGATAAAAACTTCTATAAAGGGAAATTTCTCTGGAAAAACAGTGGCCACAACATAAAGACACAACTGCAAAAAATAGAAACCCAGGGAGAGTCACTTTCAATTTAAAAACATCTCAAATCTGGGGTTTAAAAGAAAAAAAAAAACCCAAAAATTATCACAAAATTGGAGAAGATATGTAGAAGAGTTTGTGTCAAATCTARGCTGCTATTTGGGCCAGAAATCGATGAATGCTAAATATAAAAGAAGATATTTTTGGAGAGCAACGAAGCCWTGGGAAAAAGGAAGAGAAACTGATATCTCACCTACCACCATGAAAGGCAAGTTCAGTTTTAAGTTCATTTAAGAGATGACAATTCTCCTTTGAGAAAAGGGTATTAAATATTGTCAAAGATCATGGCACTAATTAGCAATTACATCATAACAAAGAACATTTAGTGACTCTCCTGATCATCTCAATTTTGCTGAATACACAAACACGAGCTGGTTGGATTTCTGACAGATCTCACTGTGAGCTTTGTGTCACTATAAATCACCTTTTATATATAAGAAAAATTTCCCTCCCTGACCACTCTGCCACTCACACACTTCAAGAAATTCTGGCTGCTTAATTAAAAATTTCAAGAGGTGAGAACAAACATCCACCATCAAAGCCACACCTCCTTTTCCTGCTGTCATTGCAGCCTTCCCCATGATCCCCTTCCCAGCAGAGAGGAAAATATCAGCACAACATTTCTACTTGGAGGGGTTGGAATATTTTGGTGGCATCCAAAGCAAACAGCGGGGTTTTGTGAATTCCAGAGAAACCTGGGGAAAGCAGACAAAAGGCAGGGCAGGGTCCCACAGAGGCTGCTGGAAAGGAAGGATGAAAGGAGCTGATCCCATGGATCCTGGCCACGGGGAGAGCGTCTGCAGGAAGCTTTGGGGGAAGTCAGGAAGTGCTGATCCTTTCTGCACCACAGGGAAAAAAGAGCACGGCACAGGGCGGGAGAGGAATAAACATGGGGACACTGCAGGAACCCCAGAAACAGGGACATT